GAGTTGGGTCATCCACAAGCTCCGCCGGATGATCACCAAGCTCCCAATCACCACCAAGCCATCTAGGTGATGGCGATCACTAAGAGTAACAAGCACGAACTCTCACTTGACCACGACAAGCCTAATGAGAAGGGTGGATGCACACTTTGCTACTCTTGATTTCACTAATGAGGGCTCTCTTTGGGATTCTCAAATCTCAATCACCTCACTAGGACCTTGCTCTTCTTGTCACTCTCAAAGGTGTTTCTTAGCTGTTGGAATGAGCAAAAGTACCCCCTCACACGAATGGAGGAAGTATTTATAACCTTGGTTGAAAAACGAACCGTTATGTGCCTCTGCGGGTGATCGGACGCTCCGATCAGTTCTCACCGAACTCCAGTGTTAATGTTGTGACCGGACGCTGGACAACGTCCGATCAGCACTGACCGGACACGTCCGGTCGTGATTTCCCTCTCTGGAACCTTACTGGAGTCGACCGGACGCTGGCACCCAGCGTTCGATCGCTCACCTCTCAGCGTTCGGTTGCACCAGACGATTTCACCTTGATCAAATGAACTAATCGGACTCTGCGCCAGCGTCCGGTCACTTCGGAACTAGCGTCCGATCAGCATTTGACCCTCCATTCACTTCCAACTCTCAATCATACGTGAATGAAGTTTGCTCCATTGGATCCAAGGGCTTTTTAGGAGCTACCTTAACAAGTGTGCACCACACCTAACCTACTAGACTCACCTAGATCAAGCTACCCGTCCATACCCCCCTTAATAGTACGGCCAAAGGAAAAACAAAGTCCTAAACTACTCTAAGTGTCTCTTCAACTCCAAATGACACTTAAAACTAGTCCATCCTTAACGTTGTTGTCCATCCTTTGAAAACCGAAATAATTTCCATCGTAGGGGCATGACCACCATGATAGTCCAATCGATCTCCATTACCATGACCTAACTTAATTGCCTCTACAAAACACACGTTAGTCATAGTAATTACGTATTGTCATTAATCACCGAAACCCAACTAGGGGCCTAGATGCTTTCAGTGGACTAATTGACTGGCAAGTCACTGATCCATGGGAAAAACATCATGTGTCATCCTCTACATTGTAGTTTGCATATCTCAACACAAGTTTACTTCATTGCAATATATTGTGCTTGTGTTGTTGAGCTAGTATTTAGTGTTTTCCGCTTTCTCACTAGTATGTGTAGGAGCTCCGGTGCGCTTGCTCTTGTTCTAATTGCTTAGATTGTTTGATCTTGCAAACTAGAATTGTTTAGGTGAGCTAGATTGAATGGGCTCCTCCATCAAATTGATGTCCCTAATGATGTTTACTAGTGCCTTGACATCGTACCCCTCTTGCGTTTCGTCACCTCCAACACCATCAAAGGATTGCAAATCCTCCTTCCTAAGTCCATTGTCGACCACCACGACCTCAAGGCTTGACACATTTGCTCCTTGGACCGCCTTTTTGTAGTGCGACTAATGTGCCTAGTTACACAAGCTCATCGACACATAGTGTGCCCTACTCTTCCCACAATCCAACCTCTCTTTCATTGTGATATCACCATCAAACTTCTCCTTAACCTAGCATAAGAGATCACTAAAGCTAGGCGTATTTTGAAATAATTTGACTTCATCATTCATCTTTCAAACTCCCCATCTTGTTTAACTCTTCCTCCATGATACAAACAGACTAAACTATCCATCTATGAAAGCATTTGAGCAAACTACATCAAGTATTCAAATTGATTCTAAGCAATGTAATCTAAACATACTAGCTAAACTACCACCAAATCGATTTAAGCTGAAACAACCTAAACCAACCACAAACATGACATGCAAATAGATGTACATGTATAGATCGAGGGCAGCCTTGAAACACATGTATTCGATCTACCTAATTGTCTTTGCATACCTAGTATATTCAAATTTAAACCCAACCCTAGCTACCTAAACTATTCTACAAAACAACTTGAAACAAGCAAATGAACAAGAGATTGCCCTAGGGCGTGGGGGGATGGAGGGGAGTCATATCCACAAAAATCAAGACCCAGATGCAAGGATCTGACCCAAAATCGGCGATGATCACGACTGGAGGTAGGAGAAGAGATGAGAGAGAGAGAGGTGGAGAAGGGGCCGACGCGTGGCTCTGTATGCATAGCTGCCGAGCCAGGGGCGCCAGTTCAGCAAGTCCACGGGTCGGCTGACTGCCACGTTGGCAACCCAGCCATGCATGTCTGCCTACCGAGGTAGTGTGTTTTTGCCGCATCAGGAGAATTGGTGTGGTCAAAGGAATTAGTTTTCTTAAACAAAGAAGGCTAGTATTAATAAAAAACAAAATTTCTTTTCAAAAAGGATTTACAATAAAAACTCTTGGTGGCATGTTGTAGCACAATCAATTCTCGTGTCATATAATGAGACAATTGCTATGACATCTTGTTATATTCACCTGTGCTCTGGAAAATCCACGGGTCAACCACTAATACTATTTCTAGATTTATTTATAATACAAACTATATTTTAGAATGCCAGAACAGCTTATATTTTGGAACGAAGGAGTATCAAATTTCTGAATTGTACAAAGATGAGTATCATGCATCACATCGCACATGTCCGTTGACCATAGAAATATCTACAGAACACCTGCAACTGCAACAATAATAAACCAGAACACTCGTGCTTTCTGTTCCCACGACCTCTATCTAATAAAGCGGAACACCTCCAAAAATCTGGCACCAAAAGGCAAAAGCGATCCTACCAAGAGCAGCAGGACCACACCGCTGCCTGCTTCCCGGAATAGAATCGAGACCAGCATGGACCGTGCCTGCCGTTGGGCTCGCGGCACCCGCCCTACGCGGACACTCTTCACATGCACGAGGTCCACATGGGATCTGACTCCGAGGGTGATTGGTTGCTCGAACCAGGACGTCCAAAGGGCATCCTGCATCCCTCCGTGCACTTACGCTATGTTTGGTTGTCTTGCTGGCATCTTTTGCCTGTATCTTTTCATTCGTTTGCTTTCCTCCATTCCGCACGCCTCCGTCTTCTAGATTTCTCCTTTCCTTATGGTGCAGGATGACTTGATTCATCCAGGATGCAAGGATCCATGCGTCAGACACAAAAAAAAACTAATGCATGCAACCAAACACAATTCTATCTCGTACTATACCAACAGCAAAGACAACTAAACCTGACCACTTACACAAGCTCAACCCAGCTGCCCTGAGATGCTAGCATCTAGCTCACGCTATGAAATCCAGAAGACGACCTGTCTCGCTTCTCACCTCCCCCACCTGGCCTCACTCACAAAAAGAAAAGCGCATACCCATACGTTACTTTGCTTAATTAATCTCAAAAGTCGTCTCCAATAATTGGCCATACAATAATCGTTGAATTAGTGACGGACCCCGTCCCGCTACGCATCACTGTCTCCTATAGGTGACGGTCATCTAAATCCAAAATATGTAGTAGGAGATATAAAATCAACCTCCAATATAGTATCTGTACAGAAGATCTATTTTGAGTTATTTGAGAGACACAACTCAAATATGAGTATCCTCTCTCCTGAAAATCTATTTGTGGAAAAGATTTTCCTTCGGATACTGTTCAAACATTGAATATATATTGTATTTTGAGTGTCGTCGTTGACGTAACCTTATGATCTCGATGCGTCCGTCGTCCCATCCTGTCACGTCAGGCCACAACTCGCACACAGCACAAAGACCTTGTTTAGATTGGAGTTAGGAATCAGTATATGACACTGTAGCACTTTCGTTTGTATTTGACAATTATTGTCCAATCATGAGTCTAACTAGACTCAAAAGATTGTCTCGTAATTTACAATCAAACTGTATAATTAATTATTTTTTTATCTACATTTAATACTTCATACATGTGTCCAAGATTTGATGTGACGAAGAGAGACCGAAAAAACTTACAATCTAAGCGAGGCCAAAGCCAGGAGAATCGGTGCCCGAAAGCTGCTGTGCTGGATTCGCCAAAGCAATAAAACCGTTGACATTCTCCTCCTCCTCCCACTTCCCCCGAGCGGCCCCACGAGTCGTCGGCGTCGGCGTCGCCGTCGCCCGCCTTCCTTCGCTCGGCCGCTTTATTGTGCCACGGCCGGCCTCGCCTGCGCACACGGCACACCCACGTTGCTGCGCGTTCCTCCCACCTTCGTGGCTGCCTGCCAGATCGCGGCTTTCTTCCGATCGGGTAAGCGGCGGGGACGCCTCTCGCCCTCGCTCGTCTTTGTTGATGACTGTGATGAGGATGGGGCGAAGGCCAACTCTTGTTTGGATTGGGGCACCGGCGGGTTGGTTCGTCAGGGTGTGGCGTGGGATTTGAATTCCGGAGTTCCGCGTCATGCTTCCTGCAGATTCGCGTATCTCGCACGCCCGTACCGCCATGCCCTCGCTCGCCCGCCCTTTTCTTGACCTTTCCCTATTTTCATTTCACATCATATGGTGATGATGCTTCCCGCGCACGTCTCTGTTCGATCCTCTGTTCGTAGACGTAGCTCGTGGCTTTTTGACCAATGGAAATGGAAGCGTTTTTCTTCTGGTGACTTCCATTCAAATAAGAATTCATCTTCGTTTCTTTCTTTCTTGTTGATCAAGCGTATTGATCTCTGATAGCAGGTGCCTCTGCTTTCGAACTGCTTTCATTCAGGAGGCTGAGCCGGTCCATTGAATCTGCAGAACGATCGAGCGGGGCAGGAGATTCGGTTCGGTTCGGGGCCCTTCTTCGACAAGGGAAGAGGGAAGGGATCAGCAATACCAAATGTGGCGTTTGTTTAATGACCTGTGGGATGTGCTAGGATCCGGATTCCTCTCCTCCAGATTTCTCTGATCCAGCTGTACCGTGGCAGCGAACCAGGCATCGCGCGTTGACGCCGCCGACCCCAGTCGCGTCGCGGGCCGCGCTCGCTCCATCGTCTCCCGCCGCATCTGCCGCCGCCTGCCGGAGGCCGGAGCCCTCCCCCGTGACTTTGAGAGCAAGAGAAGATGGACGACGAGGATTACTCGTGGGTGCGGCGGACGCGCTTCTCCCACTCCGTCGTCCGCTCCAACTCCGGGAGGGAGCAGTTCGGCGCCTTCCTCGAGCAATTCAACCGCGGCGCCGCGCTCAGGCAGAAGGGCGCCGCCTCGGGGTTCAAGCTCCACGGCCTCAACATGGAGCCAGGGACGACGAGGTTCTCCACCTCCTCCGTTCCGACGACGAGCTCGGTCTACGCCAAGCCCAAGCCCAAGCCCACGGACATGTCTTCTTCTTCAGACGCCAACAAGCCGGCGCAGCACGACAAGGCAGCAGTCAGCGATCGCCCGTCGTCGCAACAAGCGTCGGCGAGGCAGGACGATGCCAAGGCTGCAACTGCAAATGGGAAGAAAGGGAGCGGCAACCTCAGCGTGGCCGTCCCTCGGGAACAACCCGCGGTTCAGAGCGCGGAGGATGATGAGAGCCCCGGAGCGCTCGAGTTCTCCTTCCACCCCGACAAGCAGAGCCTGAAGCTGCAGCGAGCGTGTTCAAGCCCTGCTCCGTTTCCGCGGAAGAAAAGCGAAGACGCCGCCCTCACGCGCAGCTCGTCGCTTAGTGTGCTCGGTGAGTCGCCCAAGACGAAGCAGAGGGCGATGTCGCCCCTCCCGTCGCGCCACGTTCCCGAAGTGTTTCAAGAGGCCAAATCAGCCACCAAGAGGTTCTCCACGCCGCCGCCGCCCCGGAGAGCCGCGTCTTCGCTGGACCTGAATGGGTGTCAGCCAGCAGCGCCGGTGACGGTGAGGGCACCGGGCAAGGTGAAGCATAGGAAGGAGGGCCATCATGCCAACGGGAGGATGAAGGTTTCTGCACTGGAGGTGCTCGAGAAATGGTCCGTCGATCGCTCCCAGCTGCTCATTGGGCACAGGTTCGCGTCCGGGGCTCACAGCCGGTTGTTCCACGGAATCTACAAGGAGCAGCCTGTTGCTGTCAAGTTCATCAGACAACCTGATGATGAGGAAGATGCAGAGCTGGCTGCTCAGCTTGAGAAGCAGTTCCACACGGAGGTCACCACTCTGTCACGCCTCAATCATCCTAATGTCATCAAGGTAACTGACAGCTTTCCATTTTGTGATATCTTTTATTTATGATAATTATGCTGACATGATTCTACAGTCTACACTACTGGCTGTGGAACAGCCTGGAATGCCACATTGTCTTATTGCGTGCTTGAGGTTTTCTTGTTACTTTACTTTGCTGAAATTTGTGTTTAGATGCACTCATGATTATATGGCCCAACTATCAAGAAATTGTTGAATTGATGTATATGCAGTTTACTATTTTTTTATGGCAATTGGTACAGTATACAAATTGCATAGCCAGAGGAACGCTTGAAGTGTTGAACCTGAAATGGACTTTTACTTGCATTGATTAGTATAGCCTTTCTTCCAGCTGACCTGGAAACTTGGCAATCCCTTCTAGTGTACTACCTCCATTCTCATATGTAGGATGCTGGTTGGTTTAAATTTCAACTAACCAAAGTCAAACAAAGAAAATTGGTGGGAGTACTATTAATTAGTAGTTGCACTTTTAGGGTTACCTTCCATATTTCCATGCCATCCTATCCTACTCTTAAATGCCTATCACATGGGCACATGTAGTCCTCCTGTTCAGTTGAGTGCAAACATACTGAAAATTCAGGAAACGAAAGCCCATCCTTTATCATAGTTAGTACAAATCATGACTTGTTTTTATGAGTCTCCTTCTCACTTCATTCACATTTTTTTTGTAGCTGGTTGGAGCATGCAGCAGTCCACCAGTATTCTGTGTCATCACTGAATTCCTTTCTGGTGGTTCTCTGAGAGCGTTTTTGCACAAGCTGGATCACAAAGCTCTTCCTCTAGGCAAGATCATCTCAATTAGCTTGGATATCGCATGCGGCATGTCGTACATTCACTCGCAGGGAGTTGTCCATCGTGATGTGAAGCCAGAGAACATCATATTCGATGAGGAATTTTGTGCAAAGATTGTTGATTTTGGTATAGCTTGTGAAGAAGAGTACTGTGACCCTCTCGCAAACGACACTGGGACATTTAGATGGATGGCTCCAGAGATGATGAAGCACAAACCGTACGGTCGAAAAGTCGATGTCTACAGCTTTGGCCTTATCTTGTGGGAAATGTTTTCTGGCACGATACCATATGAAGAGTTGAACCCATTTCAAGCAGCTTTTGCTGTTTTTGACAAGGTAATAACCTGATGTCCTGATGCCCCTTTCCTTCCCTGCTTGGTAATATATATTCATTGACATTCAAAATTAAGAGATTGGGTTGCTAAAGAAACAATATGTTGAGACATTTCAAATAGCAACGCTGTATGGTGAAGTTTCAGAAGTACATAGACATTTGTCTCATGACTCTGCAGTAGTGTTGCTTTTCGGAAAATTTAAATGATGAACATACTTTTCTAATTTTCAGAATGTGAGGCCGGCCATTCCTAGTAGCTGCCCGGCACCAGTACGGCTTCTAATTGAGCAATGTTGGGCCTCGCATCCGGAGAAGAGGCCTGACTTCTCTCAAATAGTTCAGATACTAGAGAAGTTTAAGAGTGTTCTTGACAGAGATGGCACACTCGACAATATGCCAAGCTCGATCTGCCAGCTAGAGACCCACGATCACAAGAACTGGCTTGCTCATTGGGTCCAAAAGCTCAAACATAGCCAGCCTGATCTCTCTGGGCCTCCTCCGCCAAAACTGTTGTAACTATTCACCATTCAGTACCTTCGCTCCCTTCCAAACCCTGCTAATCCGATAGGCAACAGAATGTAATTTCAGTTATTTTCTGTCTATAGATTAAAAAAAAGAAAGATAAGTAGCACAGTTAGCACTTGCTTCGCTTCACCACGGTGTTCTCTTTACAAAATGTGAATACAGAGGTTGCTGAGAATGCTTCTTCAAGGGCTTGAAATGATTGATATCGTCACATAATGACTCATGTGAGTTTTGTGCACACATTGATATACACGCATTCCTTCATGAGCCTGCAACGTTCCTTGTTTAGCTTATCCATATTTACTATAGCAGACTTGTCATGTGTATTTTGACTAGTAACAGAGCTTTTTACATGCTTGGTGCTGTTGCATACTGTTCTGTTCTTGTGCTGCCTATATAATTCGGAGATCTGCTTTCTGTGCACTTTATGGATGTGTAAATGTGCCACGTAGCATATTTGAACGGCCATAGGAGTAACTTTTATCGTCAACTGTAATTTCATATACTCTCTCCGTCTCAAATTATAAGACGTTTTAACTTTTTCTAGAAATATTATTATCTTTCCTAGCTCTCTTCTTATGTCCACCTTCGAGACATCCTTTTATCCTAAGTTTTCTTTGTCTTCACTTTCTCTAGGATTAAGAGGTGCACCAACAACAAATGGCAGCTGCACATGTGGCCACTGTGATTTACCTGTCATTGGCTCATTCTCTCTACCATAAGTAGTCTTGAATCTAACCACTAAGTAATAGTCATGCACAAATTGTTCAAGGTCCACTCCCCGTTGTGAGGTTACAAAGGCCAATACATGTTGACATGGCTTACCAGTGTGCTGCTATTCAAGACAAGTACAAGTCCTTTGATGCAACTTGACAATATGACTTCCAGCAATATTCTTACTATGGTCCCAAATCTCTGCACTCCAATTAGCAGCTGACACAACTTTCAAGTGTTCCAATCCTCTAGTGTTGGCCTTTAGTTGAACCATAACACCTGGAAGTATCCTCCCAACTGACAGTCTATCTGCAATATTTCTCCTCTTGTTCCACAATCTCATAATCATCTCTCGAACCTTATCAGCAAGTTCAGCAATAGGTAAGTCCTTAATATCTCGTATCCAATTATTAAAAACCTCAACTATATTATTAGTGATGTAGTCACACTTGATATCTGGATTAAAGCCACACCTATACCACAATAGGTTATGGTAGTCAATTAACCATTTCACCACTTCTTGTGATTCACATTTGATTGCAGCCATATGCTCAAAGAATATATCTTGATAGTATGCCCTTGCTGCAGGATACATCCTTCCGAATCCTATAAACTTTTTCTGGAAAATTTTCATAAGATGAAGAAAGCATTCTCTTTGCTCTGCCTTTGGGAACACACGCTTCACTGCATTCTCTAAACCCTTGCACACATCTGTGCACACTGCAAGGAGTGGAGGATCACCTATGGCCTTCTTTAGTTGGATCATACACCAAGTCCAGTTGTCCTCTGTTTCAGAAGCTATAAACCCGAAAGCAAGTGGGTACATCCAATTGTGATCATCAACTGCTACCGCTGAGGCTAAATGGCCATTCCACCTTCCATTAAGTGCTGTAGAATCTATGCTCAAGTAAGGCCTACATCCTTCCAAGAAACCATCAATACATGGTTTAAGAGCACAGAAAAAACGATGGAAATAAACTTTACCATCCACTTCAAGCACCTCAATTTCCACCACACTTCCAGGTGACCTCTTCAATACCTCAGCCTTCCATCTGTACAGCAGCTCAAAACTATCTTCCCAGCTACCATAAACCTCCACGAGAGCTATTTCTCTACCCCTCCAGACCGTGTCATATGAAATTGTAACAGAGTGCTCTTTCTGCAACTTTTCCTACAACTCTTTAGCACCAATATGAGGATAATCCCTGAGGATACTAACAGCCTTGCTAGCTACCCAGTTACGAGATGGTGTAATAGTTTTCACCCTCACCGTGGAAACACATGTATGGTGATCAGTTAAAACTGTGACCTGCAATTACACAATTTGTGAGAACTATATGAAATAAATTCAACAAATCAAGTAATCTGAATCTAAACTACATAAAAATATTTTCACCTCTACAGTGCTTGCGCCCTTATGCTTCGAACCATTGATTTTTCAAGGGCAGTCACCAGTGGACTTGCAAAAACCTCTAAACCTGGTCGGATCAGACTTCTCAGTTCCCAAATCAAACTCTTCGTTGATGGCAAATTGCTGCACTGCCATCCTAAACTCTTTCATAGATGGGTAGATAGTGCCAAGGTCCATCTTGGGGTGGTCCTTATCATATGAAATCACCAACTCACTTGGTATAGCATCACTAGTAGGAATTGCAGCATCATTATCATTAATCAACACTCTGCATATCCATTGCTTAATCATTTGGGGCAGCCACATGTGCACTCTCCTCATCTCTAAGCCCTAAAAGCACAGATATTTGATTTTCACTCAAAAGTTCAATTCTTCCTTCCTCATCGTGTGACTCTACTATCTGCAAGTTGTCCCAGTCAACTTGTGGTATAGGATCATCAACCTCCATATCAAACCTAAACCAAATATCATTTGCAGTTTACAGTCTACAAAAAAAATTGAAAAAAGAAACAAAAAAGCGAAAAGGCTACATCACCACACCTCGGAGGAAGTGCACGTTGCACCATGTCAAGCAGCGTCGAGGGCACAAAGTCTCCGTCGAGCGTAGGTGCCGGCAAAGCCGCGTCGACACCGGTCAGCTGGGGCGCGTCCATCATGAGGGACAGACTCAGACCCGGCAGGGCGCGGGACGTTGGGGCTGCATCTAGCCTGCCGAGCGCGTCGGCCGCCTGCTGTCGGGGCCGCGATGAGGGGCGGCGAGGTCGCTTCGAGTTCGACCATGGTCGTGCCGACGGCCGCCGAGGTCACTCCGAGTTCCTCCATGGTCGTGCCGACGACCACCGTGGTCGCGGCAAGCGCGGGTGACGGCGTGGCGGCGCTGAGCACGGGTGGTTGTGTGGTGGCGGCGAGCATGTCTGCCGATGGTGCCGCGTCGTGGCCACCCTACATCGTGGACGTCTAGGGCACGCGAGCGGCTGTTCTTCGTTTGCGAGTGGTTTCGTACGATGCGAATAGTCTCGATCTCATCTCTTCACGTCAATTAAGCACAAGGGCAACAATGTCTTTTCGTGTGAAAGGGATTCCCAAAAAATATTAACAAAGCAACTAAATAGGGAGTATGGCAACAAAATCAAGGTACACATGTTTAGACTGGCAATTTTGCGAAGCCCATTGTTTGCAATGGCAAATAGCCAATTTTCTCAAAAATCTAATAGGCCGTGTGAATTCCAAAGTATCTAATTACACTGGCCATTTTCGCAATAGATCTTGTAATTGAATGGTGATACCAAGATTTCAAACACTAAGCTGTATGTATCATAAGACTTTTAATAGGTGATCCTATCTAAGAAGGGTATCCGTTGCCACTTTGGAATCTAAAGAAGAAAATAACATTTCATGCTTATGCAGGTTGGGCCTGTTTGGATGGAGACCTGATAAGGTTGCTTGGTGAAAGGTCCTTTTTTTTGGTAATTGAGTGACAATCTTAGATGAACTAATATGTGTTTGAGTGAGATACACAGGTAATTAGTCCACAAGTGCAATATGTGTGAGCAACCTACGCTATAGAGGTGAAATGGCTTGGATATGTTGCAAGGCTCACACATGTGATGAATGAGTTCATTGCATATGAGACATGACATTGAGTCAAGTGACTAAGGTGAAGATGATCAAGATAAGACTTGGCTTGATGGACCGGTTGCAAGCGTGAAGGGCAAGTTGGAGGATTTGGAGCGATGGACCGTGTGGCGGTGAAGCTTGAGCAAGACTTGACGCTGATGGACGAAGGCAATGGTGAAAAGCAAGTGAGGTCAAGATCGATGAACCAACAAGGTCACGTGATGATATGAAGTGGATCATATCATTTGTGATATGGTTGGTGCATGTGTTGCATCAACTTTGGAGGAGATGGAATAAAATGCGCAAGGCAAAGGTATAACCTATAGGGCATTTTATTTCACCGATCATATGTGTGTAGAGAAGTTTATGACCGGGTTTAGGATAGATGGCTGTACTATCAAGAGAGGCAAACTTGTTTGTATATCGGTCATCTAGTGCCACTCGAGTGATCTAACTTTGCATCGTTGCTAGGATCGAGTGGCGTGGTGAATTGAGTGCTAATCCTTTGAAAAATGTTTGTGAAATGCTAACACACATTCATATGGTGGTGTTGGCACATTTGCAAAGGAGAACCTGATCATGTTGTGTTATTCTGAAGGGGATTGCTATTGCGGCTAATGCATAAGAATGTTACAAACCATGGACCTAGTGCTTAGTTGAAATTGAATCAGAGTATGGTGAATGCATGATGTGTTTGCTGCTTCTGAGATTTTTTTGGTCTCCAATCACTAGATGATAGTGGTATTAACACGCAATTCTTTTTTGGAACCGCAGTGACCTGCCCGGTCTCCAAGATCTTTCACTACACCAGATTTGCACATCACTGCCGGCATCATCACTGTCGGATTTGTGAGAACCGGCAGTGATGTACTTTCACTGCTGGTTATGAGCTTGAAAATGAAAAAATGATTGGGGCTGGGCTAAAACCGGCAGTGAAGGACCACATCACTGCCGGTTTGTGGTTTGAACCGGCAGTGTTTTGGCGGGCAATCATCACTGCCGGTTCAAGCCACAAACCGGTAGTGATTGTGCTCTATCACTGTGGTTCTAGCCAAGAGCCGATGGTGATAAGCCTACAGCATAAAAAGGCTGCAGCCATCCTCTTCTTCCTCCCCTCTTCCATCCCGAGAACAGAGGCGCGCTTTTGGGCCTTTCCCTCCATTGTTGTGGCTGCTCTTCACCATGAAGCTAGTGCTTGGATTTTGAAGAATGGTTTGATCTTTTTGCTTTAAGGTTAGTAACAAACATC